TAACTTATAAACAGAGATTGCATTACATTTTAATAATTTTCTGATCCGCTGAGTGGCACTAGCTTTGCTATTGAAGAGGTTGCGTTAATCTAAAACATTTTTGTCAGGCACCTTGCAGGCCCGTAGGAAGCAATTTCAGTTGGGAGGGGGGGGGGCACAACCATATATTTTCAATTGGAGGGGCACTATCAACTACCGAAAATTCCTCGACAAGACCCCCCCCCCCAAAAAAAAGGTCATCAGACGTTTTTATTGAGGGGGCACAAGCATACAGTAGCTATGTTTTCTATAGTATTTATTATATCGGCAAAATTACTGGGGGGCACGCCCTGCGACCATGCCTTGTATAAGCACCTTATTGAGATGCCCTAGCTAATGTGCCTATCTTGGACAAGGATTCAAACTTCAGATGCTGATAATTTTTGAAGAAAATGCTTATCGTAAACTGTTTCACATAACAAAGTTTGTGCATTGCACATTTTGCGAAAAAATGAAGCATTGGTGTTTACCACTAAATTAAACTGTTAAGTCGAAGGATAATTATTAATAATTTGCGTCTGAATTAAAGTTTGAAGTACCATAATTTAGACGTAGATACGTGCTCCAGGCTAATTTGTCTGTTACTAATTCATGCATATAAATTAGTCTTCTTCCCTTGCCTGCTATAGTTTTGGGCGGAGTAAAAGTTTCCTGATTATATTAAGGCACTGCTCGGCGTGTTTGTAGAGTATTCACCTAAGCTGACTAGTACATGTAAAGGGAACATGCAGTTGACGGAGTTGTCAGCGCGGTCAGTAAACCTTAGAGCAGGCGGCAAAAAACATAAACAGGTGAACCTCTGATATGCCCTTTAAACTGGGGACCAAACTTCTCCTAGGACATTGTCACTCTCCCTTTATGAGACAGAGGATGTAATTAAAATTCAACTCAGCAATGATTCCTTTTTACCTTTGGCTATAAAGAAAAGATCATATTTTGAGGAAAAAAAGAACAAGAGGTCCATTATCATTGTTCTTGAATAGCGCACTTTAACGGACTAAAATAACATCGACGTACCAAAAATAGTTCAGTTCCCGATTTAGAAACTCATTTGTTGCTAGTTTTACACTTGCCCACAGAACAAGGCAGCGTTTCAAAGCAATACGACTTCCAGTGGGATCAATATTCTGACTGCACTTAGACCAGTAATCTGCAGCTCTATTCCGGTTCCAGTTGCGGCTTCACAACTGCTCTTTATGCTCAGTCTAAGCGCTAGTCTACAAAATTATTTTCAATTAAAAAAAGTCTTACTCCAGCTTGGATATAGGAGCAAATGTCAAATGCAGGAGACATTAGCTATTCGGCCTGTGTTCAATTGAAAGTTCAACGCCTTCTCAATGAGGGATATGTGACATTATATTGATCATAGGCGCTAGAACCCGCGCGCGCTTTGCCGCGAACGCCTGCGCCGTCAGGTCAGCGATCTCGGGGGTCACTGCTCCGCTATCGTCTGCTAAGTTGTGCTAATCAGACCACATCAATTTAAATTAGACAGCTTCATTAACGTGATTTTTTTTAAGTCGTTTTATTGATTGATCATTTAACTTTACGACGACAACTGATATATGCTGAAAAATGCATATTAATCCGCCTGGTATGTTCAAGGTCTTGTTATGGTATATCAATTCATAAATTTAATGCGAATTGGTTTTTGAAATACATATTTTCCTTAATACTTCACATCGTTTGAGTGATTTTTTTAAATTATGAATGTCAAACATTTTTAGAGAAGATAAGTATTTTTACAAACCCAGTTCTTCCGGGACATGATGAGAATCTCTCAGTTACAACACCCATTCTTCAATTAAATACCAGCATGCATGATTATATAATTGTTGTGTAATGCATTTTACAAAAAGGAGCACAAGTTTTACTTTTAATAGAAATTATAAAAATCTTAGCGTTTTCCCAAGACGAAAGTATGAGTGGAATAGTGTTGTAATATCGTTTGATTATTCAGCATTCCTGATAAACAGAACAACTAATCCTATTTCTCAATATTCCTTTGTTCCTTTTTATTATGCCCCCGTAATCGAAGATTTGGGGGTATTTAGTTTATGCCCTGTCCGTTCGTTTGTCTGTTTGTCCGCAAAAACTTAAACCTTGTCCATAACTTTTGATTGGTTGGAGTTGTGGCTCTTATATTTCACATGTATATTCTTTTTTGTACCTTCCTTTGGGTACCAACATATTTGGCCTCTTGACCTTGAAGTTCCTATTTTTTGCAAAATTTACCAAACTTTCACCTTGACCATAACTTTTGAACAGTTAGTGCTAGGGTTTTCATATTTCACCAGTGTATTTATAATGACAAGACCTTTCCATGGGTGTAAATAATTTGACCTTTTGGTATTGACCTTAGAGTTTGACCCACTTAAAAAAATTAACCTTGGCCATAACTTTTGAACAGTCAGTACTAGGGCTTTCAAATTTCTCAGGTATATTCCTTGTGACAAGACCTTTCTTTGGATACCAACAATATTGACCTTGACCTTGGAGTTTGACCTAATTTTGAAAATACTTTAACCTTCGCCATAACTTTTGAACAGTTGGTGCTAGAGCTTTCATATTTTGCATTTGTATAGCTTATGACAAGGTCTTCCCCTTGCGTATCATTATTTTTGACCTTGGAGTATGACCCACTTTTAGAAAACATAACTTCTGAAAGGTTGGTCTTTGGGCTTTCATATTAACCAGTTATATCCAGTGACGCAAGTCCTTTCTTTTGAGTATAACAGCACTTTTGATCTCTTGACCTTGGAGTTTGACTTGCATTTGAGAAACTTCAACCTTCGTCATAAGCTACCATACGGGGGCATCAGTGTTTCACAAACACATCTTGTTAAAGTAAAAACACCATCTGACTTTATCTTTCCTACTTACCTAGATACAAAATAATAAAGTTTATAGCTGTATTAAGTTATTTACGTTTCCGGAGTAAGTCAGTGTTATAACTGGGAGATTTGATCTGGTTACGTTTAATTGTTATTAACACCTTATGTAACATGCTGTCTCTCACTTTGTAGGAGAAATTAAATATGTCACTAGACAAGAGAGAAATGGTGTGAGAAACATGCATTTAAAAAGAGGACGCTAGCTTGACTTGGTACGGTAAATGATGTTCACAATAAGAAGATTTATAAAACAATCTCCATATTTTGTCCGCAAAGTTGTTTAAGTAAGATTTCGGCATATTGGATGTCAGAGAAATACAATCGACTGCTGCAAAATGATCCCCTGCAAGTGGTGACCCAGTTCACTGAGTATTACGTCAATACTTCAAGAGATATTGTTATTTCATCATTAAATTGTTAAACTTTAATTGGAAAATAAGCTGTTCATGTTTATAGAAGACTACAATACGTAACAAAATATGGTTCATTGCTACATGTATCTTGACAAAATGATGCATTAAATAAAAATTCGCATGCATTGTGTTTGTTGTATATAATTACGAAAGATCCGAAGCAAAACAGATGAAAAACAACTATTCCCAGTTCATATGCACAAGTAAACATGCTTCGCATCAAAACAAATAAACAATGCTATTATACAAGTAATAAATTTTTTATGAGAGTTTTTCTTTTTTTCCCGAAATCCTCTTTTATTTCTCTTGAAAACGTCAAGTGATCACTAACGAATATCGATTTCAGCCTACATCTTTTCAACTCTCTGGAAAACAAGCAAATGTCATCATAAGCACAAACAACTTTTTTTGAAAACCAAAATCCGGGCCAAGTGAAGGAGGAAAGGGAAGTAGAGTACGGTGTGAGTACAGGCATTGGATGTTCCTCGGAACGCGATCACTTCCTTATAAGGAAATAGGCACCGTCCTGGCGTTAAAGCCAAGCTGATCGACGAAAATCCATTTTTGATTAAATTATCTAACACCATAGGACATGTTGAATATCAGTTGGCGTGATGTCTTTGTTAAGCTGAATGAACTATCAGTACTAAGTGCTTGCACTTTATCAGTTACCAGATTATAAAAGCACATGAGAACGGATAGAGTACACGATACGGTTCACTGGCGAGAGAGCTCTTCGGTGCACTGTACTTTAAAAAAATTATTTACCTATCTTTATTCAAGAATTATTTATGCCGTGTAAATTCATTACAGCATTATTAATTGTAATACAGCGGCACAGACATTCATTGTCCCCGCTTTCCTAGATGACCCTTGATAAGACTATAACACAAATGTTTAAAATAATTAGCACGATACCTTAAGTGCATCTTTACAAACTCATGCCTACAGTAATTGAAACTGCATTAACACTTTATGACCTCATTCACCGGAACTTGTGTCACAGTGCAGTTAGCCTTCGAGCAAAGGCGCTCACCGTTATGTGTAGATCTCTAATCGGTAGAAAGTATCAAATTCCTTCATGTTCATTCAAGTATCTGTGGTTGTCTGTTCTCATAAGGCCACACTATGATGCGTCTCATGTTTGTTGGATGACTGGCAGAGCTTGCATTAGCTAGAAGAAAGTATGATCAAGGTGATCTAGAGGGTCTGTCGGTGCAAGTCGTTGTAGTTAATGGTATTCAGGTGATTATCATAATCACTGATACAAATTCTATTTAATAATATGACATGAAGTTTACATAAAGACTCTAGGAAGACTTTATAACTGTCTGACTGTGTTTGGTATACAAACTCCAGTCCTGTTACTAACGGATTCTATCAGGCGCTTAGATGTGCCATTTACATACTTCTGCTATTTCTGTATCTCAAGTGAGGTGAAACAATTAAGACACTTTTAGCACACAGTCAATGCTTAAATTAAATTAACTTAGCTTGTTTCTCCTGGTATTTCAAAAATAGGTTTATTATATATACTGCATTGACATTTTAATGTCATTTAATCAATTTTCTGTTTTTTCTACATTTATCTCCAATAAACTTTAAAACATTTTTACTTCCATCAAACTTTCAACTGATATAAACAATTAACAAATTTAATAAATTTCTTTTTTTTTTTTTTTTATTTTTCAACAAAATCATTCACAATAACTTTAACATCCGAAGCAGTGTTAAATGCATTGATACAGTCCAATTGATGCATAATCATTATGCAGATTTAAAAAAATCCACCATGTCTTAACAAAGTAACACAAAATGATGTCTTTCAAATTTGTCTTTGAATTACATGTATACCATGTAAGAACATGTCCGGTGGACATGTCGGAGAAGCACATGTGTAACATATGCACTGAATTCCTGTCGGAGGAACACGTGCTTTTTGGCGCGAGTCTCTCAGCTGTAAGGATCGACCTGGTTTCGATCCGTGCAGACGTCGCTGCCAGAACATGGGTTCACGTGCAGTGAGATGAGTTCAATTACTCAGTGGGCTGCTGAGAATCACGAGCTACTGTTCACTGCACTACGTCACTCCGGTAAGGTTATCACAGGGAATGGTTCAATTTCGTTCTTGATGATGTAATCAAAAAAATCAGCCAGCATCGATTCAGATGATGACAATTTGTCTGCATTCTGTAAAAACAATAGACAAAACATAAGTAACTATGTCTATAATTCAGATAAAAAAGAATTTCAATGGGTGGGATCGGTATGTTTAAACATGTGAGATTTAAATACCAGACGTACCTTAACAAGTATGCAAGACAGGTCAGTGGGTTCGTTATTGTTCTGATCGCCCTCGGATGCCAGGATCTTTCGGACTTTATCCTCACTGTCCACCTTTAGAAGGGGGATATCATTTTCCCAACAATAAGCCTCCACCAGTTTGTGCTGGATGTTGATGAGGACATCGTCTGATTTATTCTCCAGCAATAGACAAAGGGCCACGCTGTCTGCCTCCTCTCCTAGAAACTCGGCACTGGGCATTGCACCCAGAACCAGTCTTTTGTTCAATGCAGCCATGCTGACAACATCTTTCACAGCCTCGCCAATTTTGGCCATGTAAAATCTACAAGGTGAACAAAGAGAAATTAAGTAACGATCCAGAACTAAACTACACTAAAACCTCCAGATTTATACAAAAACAATGTAAAATGTGCAAAAATATAAAGGATGCCTACCTGTCCTCATGAGCCATTTTTGAAGCAAGTAAATCCGTAACAGTCATGATTATTTAATCCTTTTTTGTTGCGTAATAATCCACAGAATATACAGTATAGTCTGAACAATCGCGTTTCGTTTCAACATGTGTTACGTACAAAGGCAAGTCTCAGTTTATATACCGTCGGCGAGAAGTGGGAGGAGCTAACGGATTCTACGCTTTCTGATTAGTAGTGTCTTCGTCCTACATAGTGGTTGTTGACCTGAATTGATCCCTTGCTAAGAAAATGCCCATCGGAGTAAATGAACCTGGAAGCACACAGGTTATTGACTTAATCTATGTAAAATTTTGTCATAAAGAAAACTCAAAAGATTTCTATGTGTTCCAGTAACCCACAAGTCACTGCTCTCCATGTAGGCCACAGCAATATATGTTCATTTCTCAAATTGTGTCGGACTTCGACTTTTCGTAATCGATCATGTAAGCATATTGCATTCGAAGAAAAGACGAAGATTTTGACCCCAGATGAAGACTTTTTTCCATGAATATTGTCGGTTTTGTCCAAAATTCAAGTATCATTCTTTAATTACTCATTATTATGTTCAAATTGGAGAAAATTAAATCATTGGGTTTTCGCATAATCAGATAATGGGATACAAGTAAGGCATAAGGTGTATTGTTAAGTTCGCACCAAACCAACGCCCTGTGTATTGGAAAAATAAATTAAGTTCTGAATGAACGATTGTAAAAACAATGATCGATAGCCTTGATTTGGTATGATTAACCTTAGAGACACCTGCCGAGGTCAAGTCGGTAGAAGGAAGACGAAGTACAGTATACAGCGGCATTGTACATGTATTAATGTGTCACTTGATGATTCAAAAAGTATCTCTTCATTGCCGCGAACTGAATATTGATATTCTTAGGGGTTATATATTTTATTTATCATTTTAACACAGAAACTGACGAATCAATTTGCATATTGGCTGTACTGACGGCCAGATAGGTATTACAGATGTCTGCAGCGGAAAAGTGCCCAGACTCTTCATCGCTGGGCGCTGATCTTTATGGAAATCCAGGAACAAGGAGACAAAGAAACCAAGACTATGTCTTCGGATAATTATGCAGATTCTGGTATCTTGAAGCCAAAACAGTGATGAAGGTCATTGACATTTTACGTTGCACATATGCGCTGTTTATTGTTATTGTTCATGAGAATGTGTTATTTTTATTATCCATTATAATAATATATTTACCAAAGTTAGACTTGATTGGCAACACTACTCTTGTATTCTACTCTTTTCCAGCCCATTCTATTCCATTCTACCCTATTCCATAGATACTGGCAGCTTATAGGTTTTATCTCATTACTGATTAATTAGAACTACGTGCATTGTTACATGTAAATGTCAGTCATGAAAACATTGGAATCCTAACACAGTAAGAGTATATAAATATATACTTCTTCTATACTTCATGGCTTAGTAGCTTGATGTATACTAAACTGACCATTTATCAGGAAGGTTCAATGTTTGTATGTACTGGATAAGGTCATGAATCATTTTGTTTACATCCGATCTACCTTGTGCCGTACCAAGTTTTCCCCTGCACTTTATCACACTTTGGCAATATACCAGACCAGTACGTAGAACGGGTGCCTGGTCTGACTTCTCGCAACTGGCGATAGTAACGGGACAATAACGAGATGTAAACAACTCGTAACCATTGCCTGACTAGCACGCGGTAGGGTCATCCTGTTCACCTGATAATATGTGTGTATTCTATCTAAAGTGTCGGGCATGACACGGCTACATGAATGAAACACTCTTACGTCAGCCGACCAGGACAGTCAGTTGTATATATAACGAAATGATTCACATGTAACTGATTACCCATTGTCTTCGAATCAATCATTGCTAATATTGACTTCTTAGTAAAGTGCAGATATTTAAAAATAATATTAACAGCACATCTTTTGTGTCTAATTTAATTTTTTTTTTCATTCATATATAATTTTGCACTGTTATATTATTATATAGTGGCAATCCAAACACATCTACGAACAGTTTCCATTTCTATAGAAATGTCAGGTATAATATACTATTTTGAAATTGATCTGGGTGATATGCTCACTTCCTCACGAACTTAAGAATCTGTATTACAGGTGTGCAAATAGGCTCCTGCTATGGATAATTAATAAACTATTAAATATTAAACCTCATGCCTCCGAAACGTTGAAAAGTGACAAGTAATTTGAGATATATGGCTAATGAAGCCATTTTCTTTGAAACTAAAATTTTCATGGTAAATATTTTCATTACATTTTTCTTTTTGCTTGACCTTTCCCTTTAAGATGACTTTATGATGTTGGGTCAAAATTTATCTGGAAAAATATCTGTTTCTTTCATAGATTCCATTTCCATTCATTACGCTATACATAGTAAATTTAAAGAGCTCGCACCAATTAGTATCACCGATTTCCGGGTGCGACGGGAAATGTAAGAAAAGCGGAAGTCGCATTTAAATTGCACGCGACCTCGGTAACACATAGTAATCCGAAAAACCCAACCATGCACAGCCATGTGGAAATGAAGTATTATATTTACTCATGATCAGAAAAATTCATTGTGTATAACATGCATAGACATATGATACGATGCACTGAAGTATAGATCATATATATTATAATAAAAGTAATAATGACGGATTCTGCCATTAAAGATAACCCGTACTCATGCATTACGGAATGTGATCGGTTTTCTTGTACGGAATGTAATCAGTTTTCTTGTAAACTAATAAGACTTAGAGGGGATAGCTAATCATATAAAGTATATATTGTCCTCTTCCCCATGGCTTGGTAGTTTTCAAACATCATATCCTGCATTTAGAACAAACTCTTATGCAAGATATCTGCAGAAGTTTTCTTTTGAGGTCGAAAAACCATTTGATATGAACTGTGACGTAATTCGTACTGGATATCGTGTACTTTGTAGACCTTTACAGTATATATAGGTGAGTGTATGACGTATGGAAAACACTACATGTATAATGCAACGCATATCGACGCCATGTATATTTTAACAGCACTGGGTTTTATAACGAAAATATTTTATTCAATTTTTTTTCACATTTATCAGTATCGTGTGTTAGCTAGGTTACGATTTCAATATTAAATGGAAATACGTATTTTTATCTGAAGATGAAATATGCAAAAATCGAAGAAACGATTTTTGAGACCTGGTACATGAAATGAAACTGTATACATGACCTGTACTAAATATAATGCCTAATTAAGGTATTTCAATATATTTTAAACCTGTATGTCACATCAACACCATTTACTATTGTTAATCTACAGAAAACTGTAACACTTATATAAAATGTTATTGCTGAATATATGGTAGTGATATAACATTTCTCTGTTTGTTATTAAACCTAGGCCTAGAACGATCTGCATGACCTTTAAGTAAGCTTGTTTCTAAAGTCTATCAAATTAAATATTTTATCTAAGTTATATTTGGACCAACAATTATTGAATTTTTTTTTCCATTTCAGTTATCAGCAATTAACTGATTACTAGAAGACATGAAGAATCAGTTTTACATAACATTAAAACTGAACTGACCGAATTATTCAGCGTTAGCCACTGTATTAGGATCATAGAGCCACGGTAATACAGTTCCCAGACTGTTTTTACATGTTTATTTTAATTAGGTAATCCGATCAATATAATCGCCGACCCAGACTCCCACACCGAGTGGGAACAAAAATACCAGTAGGGAATAAGGGTATTTATGTGCATTGAGCATCGAGGCCTTCACCTCGCTGCCAGCAACACCTCAGCCTTGCAGTGAACCGATCAGAGGAATTTTCATTCAACCTTTTCAGCATCCTACTCGAGTATTTATTTGTTTTCTACTTATTTTATATGTAAGTGAAAATATGTTTTTTCCAACAGTGTAAATCTTCATCCTACAGTGTTTATTTAGAGTTTTAAATAGTACAAAACTTTGTTTGTTCTATACTATATTTACATGAATATTAAAGTACACGGCTTATTTATAAAACATCTGGGTGTAATCATGAACTATATGTACACTTTGTATAACCTAATAAAATGCATTGCATTTTGTGGAATTTTGTAAAATACGTAATTATTTCAAATGAGAAATATGTTCAAAACTCGCTGAAATTTTTATTATTTTTATTATTATTATTTTAAATTAATTTATTTTTTAACTTTTTATTTCCTGTTTGGTGTTTTATGCAACCACTGTTTACCATTGATGATGCATACATGTACGATTGCTCTGAATTTCAACCGAAATCTACACATGCCCCCCCCCCCCCCCTCCTGTGATTGATATATAAATAAATATAACTTTAAGAAATATTTCATCCTGAAAAGTAGTGGTAATCATCAAACAAAAATTGATAGTAAATTGTGGAAGAACGGTTAGAGAACTTTATCACACCTAGTACTATAGAACGTCAGATTGGGAATCCAACTCTTAAATTAGATCGTTTTATCAAACACTAACACACAAGTCTCTCTCCTCTTTGATTCAAGGTCATATAATGTTGACGATGACACATAACACATAGTATAATGATAATACCCTATCATTAGATCAAAGTAAAGAAGTTCTTTTCGTACAGGGCTCTTTCCAAGAGTTAATTGGATCGTGACATTGGTTCATAGTTATTCCACATATATTTCAAATATACGCCTAGGTCAAGAAAGGTCTTCTTGTACAAACGCTAATTCACAATATGATGTGGAAATCATATGGTTCATCTTGGCTTTTTATGTGCCCTTTTCATAATGAAACCGCACATGTCAAATATCATTTGCCTAGAATAAAAGTTAAAACCCCTAATATCAAAGGTCATGGTTACATTTAGTTCATTAATGTTCATGATATATGTTATGGAATGCCGACTTGCAAAATATCAAATAGACATGGGGAAAAAAGATGCATTGTGTATGAGAGAAAAAAAAGAACAATTTAAAATTGTACTATTATGACTGGGTTCGATAGCAACATGCAGATAGTCGGACCAAATCGTTTGCATGAGGCTGGTAGGCCGAAGGCAAACAGTTTGGTTCGAGGGGTTGGCAAAACGCATTTTGCCCGAGAACACAGCAATAAATGCTTTGTT